CATCGATAAGAATGGAGACTATTTCATTTAATAAATGCTTTGTTTTGATATATAAGTTGTTTTAGTTTTTTCATCTAAAAAAGCGATATTAATTTCTTGATGACCTAATACATGTATGTAGGTTGTTTACCAGTAATTCAAGTACATTCCATGAACTTGTCTTGGAGGAAACCATTGTAAAACTTCCTTATTTCAAGATAAGCCATGCCCACTTTCAAAATAGAAGCTGTGTTGCTAAGTGACAATTTTAACTTGAATAGCATGCTTATAACCAATAGAAAAAGCAGATTTCACGCTGTATGTTGTAAGGAAGACAGAAAGGTTAATGGATATATGCATTTTACAAAGGAGTTGAAATGAAGCTTAGTCCATTGTTGAGAGCAGTGTAGCTAGTGCTGGGCTATTTTTTCTTGTCTTATACATATTAGTTTGATAGACAGTCAAATTTCATTTAGGTTTTACTTTTACATTTTAGTTAATTATGTAATATTTGTGTTTTAAAATTCATCTTTGAAAGGTTAAATGATTTTTTAAATTTATTCTATGCTTTGCCTCGCTCAACAAGTGTTATCCAAATGAGCAAGTGCAGAAAAATTTTGCCACATGCTAAACCATCTCTGCTGATGATAACATTATATCACCCGCTGGTACCAGTTGATGTGTGTCAACATAAATGATCATAAATAAAGAACAGGAAAGGAAAATAAAACATTAGAAATACACTATAAGGGAAAAGTTAAAGATGTAAAATTACACATATGCTCCAAAAGAGTATATTTTAAGGTTATTCAATGAAAATATAAAAGGATATAAAACAGATATTTCTGTTTCTTAATTTTAAGCATTTCATTGCACTGAACATTGATGATAATAGCAAGATTAGTGATATGGTAGAGAAATGGAAAATAAAACATAAACCTTTACTTTAAATTAACTAACTTTTGATAGTAGTTGAGAAGGTTCTAGAGATTTTACAAGTGAAATGTGAAAACTGTAAGATAAAAAGTAGTATTTTTATAATTAACATGAAAATCACCTTGCAGGTGAACTATTCAGACTCCAAATGTAAATAACAACATTAAGTAATGAATTTTTAGTAGAAATAGTGGAAAAAATCAAAATTTTTTTTTTCTGAAGCTACATACTTTTAGGAAGGTTCTTGCCAAATTTCAAACAATTTTATTCACTGTTTTTATTTTTGTAAATAAATTTCATAAGAGTTATGTAACCTACTTACAGAATAAGTAGGCTACTGTCAAAGGGTTAAAATACCATAAGTTATGTCTGGATTGAACATAATTACCTTTAAGCATTCATGTTACAGATTGTAGTAACGTTAAATTGATGAATCAGGTCGAGTTGAAATTAGAGAAACAATAGAGATTAAAAAAACAAAGATATTGTACTGAACAAAGAAGTTGGTTCAGGTTTAGAAGAAATAAAGTACTGTACAAATGTTTTGGAAACTGAGGATGTTTTAAGTCTAGATGGCACTAAAGCAATGCAAATGATTATGTAGTAAATAAGTCTTGACCAAAACTTCAACTCTTACACCTGAAGATGGTGGTGTAAGAATACCGAAACATGTAGAGTCATTTTAGGGCTAGTTCCTGTTTTAATAAGTTATTTATTGTGTAATCATTTAGCATTGTACTCCTTTTAACTGTATATATGTATATATTTCACAAGTGCCATTTTAAATTATATTTATATTCACTTTCATTAAGTTTTAAAAGACTCAAGACACTACTTACTTTTAAAATTGGAAGAGTTATGTCTTGTGGATCAAACAAAATAGACTTGGAGCAAACTTTAAGCCTTCCTTTTTGCTTCCTATAAAAAAAATGTAAAACTCATCAAAAACAATTTCACTTTTTTTACTTGCTTTGCATGAACAATTAAAGCAAATATAAACATTCAAAGCTAAATTTGGATTAGAAGATATCAGAGGTGATATAACATACAACAAAAGATTTAAAGAAAATAATTATCCTTCAAGGCAGTCCCTATACACCCACTCATGAAAAAAATAAAATTTAAATCCATCTTTTATTTTTAAGGAGATAATTTATTATTATCTGCAGATGGAAACTCATTATATTTGGCAATGACCTTATTTAATCCTCTCAATATGGGGTCGGTCAATTTGACCGAGTCACATGACCTTTTGTACTTGTTTAAAGTCTTTATAAATTCAATACTTACAACTCTTAATATATTGGGTATATCTTCATGAAATTTGGCAGACATTCAGTTA